AGAATAGCCCTAGTGTACCTGGATGATGTCATTCGGTTTGCAACAACGTTTGATGAGGAAATGTTCCGGCTAGAGGAAGTATTCAAGCATTTGAAAGCAGCAAGCCTCAAACTCCATCCCAAGAAATGCTACTTGTTCCAGAAAGAGGTGCTTTACTTAGGTCATATTGTAAGTGAGCATGGGGTACGAACTGATCCTGACAAGGTGAAAGCAGTGTGTGATTGGCCAACACCAGACAATGTGGGAGAGTTAAAAAGTTTCTTGGGACTCTGTACCTATTACCGGAAGTTTGTGAAGAACTTTGCAACTGTAGCTGCTCCACTACATGATTTGACCAAAAAAGGCCAGAAGTTTGAATGGACAGTTTCTTGCCAGTATGCTTTCAACACATGGAAAGAAAAATTGGCCTCAGCTCCACTTTTAAAGCTTCCAAATCCCTCATTGCCGTAGATACTGAATTGTGATGCTGGTAATGTTGGAATTGGAGGAGTATTATCTCAGAAAGTGGGTGAAAACAAACGTGGTGGCCTACTTCAGTAGGGTCCTGAGTAGACCAGATGGAACTCCTTGCTATACTCCTAGTAGAACTCCTACTATATTAAAGAGTCTGACATATTTCCATCCTTATCTCTATGGCGCCAGGTTTACCATCAGGACAGACCATGCTGCATTACGCTGGTTAAGATCATTAAAGAACCCAGAGGGACAACTGGCACGTTGGATCGGAAAGATAGACCAGTAGAATTATGATAGTGAATACAGAGAAGGAAAATCTCAGGGAAATGCCGAAGACCATGCAAAAATGACTGCAGACATTGCTGCAAAAGAGAGGTTGAACTAACCAGGTGCCATCAAGGTGAAGTCAAAGTGACTGAAGGAGTTGATGATGGTGAAGTGGAACCAAGTATAGATATTAAAGCAGAACAGGAGAAAGACCAAGATTTGAAGCCAATAATTGATTTTCTACAAGCAAGTGTTTTGTGCCCTGCTTAGGAGAAGTTGTCTATCTTAATCTCTGTGACAAAGAACTATTGGGCACAATGGAACCAGTTGAAGCTTGAAGATGGTAGTCTTCTCCGGATACAGGAAACTGCAGATGGGAAAGTGACGACCTGGCAAACAGTTATACCGAGAAAGTTACAGGATGTTGTCCTGCGTCAATCCCATGATAGTTTAACAGGAGGACATCTTGGAGTTAAGAAGACATTGAGTCACCTACGGCAGAGATTTTACTGGATAGGTATGAGGCAAGATGTGGAAGAATGGTGCAGGACATGCAGTACACGTTGTGCTAAAAGGGGACCCAAGCATAAAGGACGTGCTCCAATGTAGTTACATCAAGTTGTCACACCAATGGAAAGAGTAGCCATTGACATTGCTGGTCCATTGCCCCAAACTCGTGTGGTGATGGATTATTTCACCATGTAGCCTGAAGCATATGCAATACCAAATCAGGAAGCTACAACTGTAGCTTCGGATAATAGTGATTTCTTCTTCAGGTTTAGTATGCCATATGAACTGCATTCAGATCAAGGCCGTAACTTTGAATCAGCTGTGTTCCATGAATGCTGCATGTTGTTTGGCATACGAAAGACCAGGACAACGCCACTTCACCCACAGTCTGATGGGATGGTAGAAAAGTACAATTGGACACTGGAACAGGAATTGGCAAAGATTTGTAATAGCCGCCAAGATGACTGGGATGTCTTACTCCCTCCACCGTTGGTGGCCTATAGAACAGCAGAGCATGAAGCCACTGTATACACTCCAGCAAAGCTGATGTTTGGTCGGGAACTTCGGTTGCCAGTGGACCTGATAACAGGACGCCCACTTTACGAAGAATTTCCTGAAAATGTACCAGAGTTCATGAAAGTGTTATCTGAAAGGATGGATGACATTTATCATCAAGTGCGTTCAAACTTAAAAACGTCT